GTTATTAATGATGGAGGTTTATGTTTATCTTGATCACATAATAATACAAATGGTATTGGTGTTAAAAATGGATTTGAATAATCAACTTTTGAAAATGTCATTGTTGTTAATAATTTTGGAAGAAAAAATGAACGTAAACATCGAAGACATGATTCACATAAATTTATTGAACCATTTCTTGATGATAATAAGAAAAATAATTGTTGAATACAACCAATTTCAATTAAACGATTAACAATATTTTTATTATTTGATTTAACAAATGATGATATACAATCAATTATTTCAATAAGTAATTCAGTATTATTAACTGATGATAATTCTTTAAGTAAATTAAAAAGTGTATCAACTGTACCAACACGATAAAATGCTGTTTTACAGCGTTTTGAACCAATTATTAAATTTTTAACCTAAAAATAAATTCAATATATCAGTTACGTACTATTCTAACTCCTATTTAGATTTATTTTTAGTAAATTTCTTTCTCACAAGTATCGCAACCGTAAATCTTCATTTTTGATATTTATCTATGAATTATTTTGTAATTTTTCTTACCTCAATAATTGCATGAATTCGTTGTTGTTCTTCACTATGTTCAGCAAGTTGTTTTAATAGAATCTCTTCTTCTTGCGTAGGTAAATCATCATCATATGAAGGCATAATTGATTAAATAAATTTTTTTGAAAAAAAATGTATTAATCAGGTATTATATATCGATAAGAAAATAATAAATAACAACACGTTCGTCTACTATATATATTATATGAAGACGAAGTAAGTAAAAAAAATGGTCTAAATATATGATTGGTTGATTTAGTTAACAAATAAAAATGAATTTATAGATTATTTTATTTTATAGATTTAGTTGGTGAACTTCGTTGTTTATTTAAGAATGAACGAAAAAAAAAATCTAAGAATATTTGTTTTCTCTCATTTTTCATTAAGTTCAATATCTTTCTCTTTGACTTACTATCATATAAAAATACAACAATAGTCTTTCAAGGATCATCTTAATCCACTTATGATTTATATACATCGAAATCTGATTATAACACTAAAGAAGAAAAAAACTTAGCTCTATTTAAGAGGATATAGAACGTATATGTGTAGCAGTTATTCAGCATATTCTTATTTTGTAAATTTGTTTGTAATTATCATATTTTCTGGAGTAATTCTTTTTTAATTCACGAAGAATTTGCTTGAAATAAAATGATACAAAGCAATGAACTAATCTATACAAACTTTCCTGATATTTGTCAAACTTCAAGACTTTTATTTTTATCGAAAATGATTGTGATTTTGATATCATTATTGATACTTTTGCTTTTTATTATGATATGATTGAAGTATATTTATATAGTTATATTATACATAACTTAAATACTCATAAAAATTATATTTTATATGTGAAATAGAAATGTCAATGTTGATACAGAATATTAGAGTCTAAACGACCTTGTTAACAGCGGCAGTATTTCTTTACCGGTTTTGTTTCTCATTGATCAGTAGGGAAAAATACTCCTGCTGTTGTTCTCTATCATATGGCAAAAATAGGACCGAGAGTCTTGTCGTTTGAATGGTAGCTTATGAATCGTCAGTAGATAGACAAAAAAAACAAGAGAACAAGAATAAGCAGAAGACGATAGAACCATAAAAATAAGAAAAAAAAGGGAGAAAAAAAAGACAGACAGAGACAACAACAACAACAACAACATCAATATTATTTATTTCATCCAAGGTAAATAATTTTTTCGCACGATACCATATTCATTTTCAAAAATGAATTATTTATATATTTGATTAGATGGATAATGAAATGGATAGTTCTCTAACACAATATCGGTCATCGACAAGTTTCAATACAAATTATCAAACAATATCAGGTATAAATAAATAAGTATAATTCTTATTTGATTTATTTCTTAAATCTTTTTTTAGATAAACAACAAATTCAACAATCACAAATTTCGCCCGAACAATTAAAAGAAAAATTACGTAAACAATTAGAATATTATTTTTCAAAGTAAATTTTATTTTTTCTTAAATAAACTAAATTGAAATAATTGCATTTATTTTTTAAAGAGAAAATATAATTAATGATATTTATTTACAATCACAAATGGATGCTGATAATTATGTACCTATAGCAATGATTGCAAATTTTAAACTGATTAAACGTCTTACACATGATTTACAATTAATTACTAATGTTCTTAAGGGTAATACAAGAATTTTAGATTGTATTTTAAAATCAAATAGACAATTTCGATGATAACACTTAGATGTGATAAAAAAAAATAATGGACAATTTCACACCTATTTTCTATGGATGTCATTTAATATGAAATAATAGATCATGATGACATTTAATGTAATATATAAGACACTTTGAACTATTTTTTTCGAAGGTCAAGTTTAATTACATAGACAAGAGCCTATTTTCTATAAACTATCGATTAATACAATCAAATGAAGTACTGTGAGAATCAATCTTTCTTCTTTATACAAATTAAAACCTCTCAGAGACTAAGAATTTATCAGAAATCGAAAAATATTTTTCATTCTATGACAGATTTTCTTATTAAAAATTGATGTGACTGTGTGTCGGAAATACCTGTTCTAACTATAGAAATTGTTTTACAAATATTAATGTATTCATTCTTTTTAGAATCACCATTAGTTGAAGTTGATACTGAAGAAAAAAAAGTTCGTTCATCCGATAAAATTTATTTACCAACACGAAAACGTTGTATTATTATATTACGTAATGTCCCATTAAATGCAACAGAAAATGAAATTTTAGAAATATTTATAAATGAATCTTGTGCTGTATCAGCAATTGGATGTGAACGAGTATTAGAATCTGATCATT